AGAGGATTCCGCGTTAGCGTAGTATGTCCAAATCACAACCAATCACCGCAATTCCAGCACCGTTCACTGTCCTAACGCCCATTAAAGTCTCCTGGCCGCAAGTTTTGCGGCATGAACATCTAGGATACACAAGACACTCAAAACATTCACTTTCATTGTCTCCTGAACGGGCCACTGCGTCTATGCGCATTACCATGGATATGAATAAGACAGTGAGTTCAGTGAACCTCCTTCTCAATCAGCAGATCTGAATATAGCAGATTTCCTTTGGGTGATCAGCAGCATGAACAAAATTATGTGATGAATCATGTCAACACAGAGCGGCATCTCAGAGGGAGGTTTTCAACATCTCACCAAAAACTGAGAGCAAATAAAGTGCTCATTGAGTGTAAATTTGTACAAATATAATGTTGGTCATTCATAAATACAATGCTTAAAACAAAAACCCCAGCAGCTCCAGATGTGAGACTGGAATGCAAAAGTAAAATGACAAATCTGACAAACTTTTCTAGTGAAGGCATGGACACTTTGAGGCGTAACTGACTGCCTGCCAGCCTGAGCACTTGGTGTGAAGTTACACCGTTCTAAGTGGACTTAACTCCAGGAGTTCAATGTTCGGCCTACCTCATCATGAGGGTTTTGTAGACAGAATCTCGGAGCTGGAAGGCATGGTTACTGACGGCCAGGTTGTGCTCCAGTCTAAAGGGTTCCAGCACGACGCCATCTCGTACCGGGAAGGTAAGACGCAGGTCATCGCTGGGGTTTCCTGCAGCAGAAAACAGAGGTGTTGGGGTCTCCAATGCATCAGTGAACTAAAGCTCAAACTGGTGACTCAACAGACAGAATCTAGCACATGAAGCATGAAATGCTGCACCTAATTAAAAGCTCTTAATATTACTGTGTGGCCAAAATCTCATCTTCCAGATGCTACCTCAGAGGTTGCATCGTCCTTATGTATTTATTAACAACAACAAAAAACTTTACATTTTACATCATTGTTGTGTATTTTAATTTTTTATTAATTTTACTCAAAAGTTTTATTTCACCATGTTCTATTTTTTGGGTTTCTACTGTGCATCAGTCTCCCAATCCATATGCTAAATGTGGTGTGTTTGTCAGCCTGAGTTGTGGGTTGTGTCTCACCTGTGGAGGGCTGCTGGGTGTTGATGTTGGGTTTGGTGTCTGGTGGAAGGTAGGGGGGTTTGGTGTCCTGGCCTGGGGAAAGGTAGGGAGGTATGGAGGTCCCAGGTGTCATCGGCGGGGTGGGATTCCCTCCCATCGGTGAGCTGGGGTACCCAGGCATCACTCCCCCCCTCCCTGGCTGAGAGACGATGATGAGGACGAATGTTTAGAACCTTAAAATCTTCAAAGTGTGTGACAAGAAAAGCCCATCATCATGTTTCTGTGTTGTTACCAAACTGAAAGCACAAATGGCTTACCCCGTTCACTGCAGCCTGTGTGAAAGCATTGTATCCTCCAGTTCCTCCAGATGGCAGGCTGCCCTGACCATTGAAAGGCTCCGACTGGAGACCAAACACAAGAAACATGATACTCAGATAATTATACATCGATGTGGACACAAAGAAGGTCAGCACTGGTGCAGAAAATACAACTGTGTGGCTGTTATGTTTGCCTGAATTCCTTTTTATTTCTCCTGTTAATTTGATCAAAAATCTTTAAACAGTGACAAATTTTATTATTATTTAATCTCAAACAACCAGTTTCATGATTAGGTTCATGATATATCAAAAAATAGTGTGGAATCAAAAAAGCCCAAAGTCAATCACTTCTTGTGTCCACGAACACTCTAAAACCCCCAAATATTGATCAATTTGCTGATTATTGTTTTGATTATTTCTCTGAACCCCAAAATCTACTGCTGGATTTGACTTTTTTTTTTTTTTTTATTTCCTCCACTAGAGCATTTATCAGAGCAAGAAACTGTAAAATCATGTAGTATTTATATGTATGAAGTATTGTGAGATTTTCAACTTTTTTACGTTCTTTGAACTACTCATGTGATGAGTGATGATTGATCAGGAAACTCAGACTAAAATTGTGATATTTCATCAAAGTCATCTTATTCTACATGTCTCGTCTAAAAAATTGCCAAAAAAAACAAAAATAAAATTTTGCCTCTACTCTGTAATGATTTATGGCATTCATAACTGTTGTTACAGCACGTAAGACATTTTTTTTAGTTCTTTGGGTTCAGAGAGTTAATTTGCTTTAATTAACTCTCTACTTGTTCTGTCTTATCAGCACATCAGTCATCTGTGAAGCACTTTGAACTTTACGAAGCAGTATGAAATGTGCTATAAAATAAAATCCAGTTTGTTTGATTGACATTGACAAACCAATGTTCACTGGATTTTTCCAGGACTCGGTGTAAAACAAAGAACACAATTTGCAGTCTAAGTTAGCCACTGAACTCTGGAAGAGGTAATATTCAAAACTGATTGAACTGGAAGGTACTTTTTTGATACATGGATGATTTGTGTTGTCTATAAAGAGTCAGGAAATGCCGGGGGAAAAAAAAGGTCTTATTATTTCTGTTTAGTAAGTTCTATTTTTGCTCATATTCTCTACAGTAACTTCTGTTTTTAAAAGTCTTCTATGAATAAATCTTTACTTAAGCATGTTTGTAGGAGCTGGTCAGGCTCTAGTTTGTGATCACCTTATAATACTGTGGAGGATTGGGCTGTCCGGCTCCTGGGGGAAACTGTGCTGGATTGTGTGATCCGGATGAGTACTGCCCCATATGAGGCATCCGGCTGGAGGGGTAAGACGGCGAGGGAGCACATCTTTGCTGTGGACCAGTGGGGTACTGCAGAGGCTGGTTAGGGTACCCTGACATCCCACCAGAGCCGTACTGCTGCCCCGGAAAACCCTGGAAAAGATTAAGTTGGACTGAGATTTGAGATGTCCACGGGTATTTTAATGTCAAGTCTGATCCTTTCATTATTGGACTCCACTAAAGTCCACTCTACAAACCTATTTCACTGGAACACTGAGTAAGGTATAATGAGCCTCATATGTTGTTATATTTCAATATAAAGACAACGTAGAAGGAACTTCTAATTTTGCAGACATAATGACAATATTTAGTTACAAAGTTTTTGTGGTCCTTTAAATGAGTCCACATTACAATTTTGACATGTCAAAATAGCAAAGACAGTGAAAAATACAGTGTGTGAATTTGTCAAAAATCATTAAAAGTTAAGAAGCTGCAATCAAAGAATTTAGAAAAATAATTACTGAGAGCCTTTATTCTATTGTCAAAATAGTCCAAGATTAATTTAATAGTTAACAGGTAATTGATTAATTGTTGCAGCTCTATTTGTGTGCATCAAAAACATGTATATTTCATGCCTTGTCTTCTTAAGTAAAGAAAATAATCCAATATTAGGTCATTAAAGTATATTTTCATTTTAAACATGTGAGCAAACGTGCACTGACCTCCGAATGGAAAGGCCGTTTGAGCCCCTGCTGTCCGCCTGGATAGCCTCCGTGCTGAGGCATCCTCTGTGTCTGCACAGGGTGAGAGGGATACAAGCCTGCAGTAGAAGGAGGCGGCCCGGGCCTGGAAGGGACCATCCCACCAGGGTTCATCCCTGGAGGGCCGCGGGGGCCCGAGTGAGACAGGAACTGGGTGCTGTAAGAGGATGCTCCACCCATCTGGGAGGGAAAAGGAAGTACGACAGGACTTTGAAAACAAAGCTCAGTGCTTTTCCACAGTCTGGACAGTTGGTAGAGTGCAGTACAGTGTGTCAGAGAGGGAAATGCTGAAATGCTGTAGAAAAACCAACAGCGCTCTTATTCATCAGGAAAGTTTGTTTTTTCTTGTGGGAAAAAAAGCATCTTACAAGCTTTCTTAACTTACAAAACAAAAAAAAATTCTCCTATCTCCAAAAGGCTTGATGGATGAGCAGATCAGTTAGGAGTTGGGCAATTCAATGAAAAATGAATGAATGCCACCCACCTGATCCCCGGAGAATCAACTGATCTTTGTGTACAATAAGCGTAATTAATAAAGCCATGCAAAATTTTACCTTCATACTAACTTTCAGAGTTACAGGTTCGTCTCCATTTCACAGCCATAAGCTACATAGGAAAGGGACAAGATAAGATGTATAAGACATGCCCTTAAACTTATTCCATGATGACCTCTCTTCCCAACTTGTTATGTTACTTTTTTTTTTTACTCTTCTGAACTCCAAGCAGGTTCTGAGCTTTTTTTTTTTTTTTTTGTTGCTCCTATTGCATTTTTGCTCACTGGCTCATTTTATAGTGCAGTATACAGTCGTGCACCTCTATGAAAACAGCACAAACATGGAAGGAGGTAGAGAGAACTCAGAAATGTCTTCTGTGCCGTATGACACAGTTACAAAGCTATAAATCATAAAAATCTAAGTTGGATTTCTTTGATTAGTTTCCAAAAACATACAAACATGTGGTCACACCAGAGTCAGTTATGACTTCTCAGTTGTGCTGTAGGGTTTTATGTTTTTTAGAGGGCCTGATCAGCAAACACATTATTTTTGGACAAATTTAAATGAAGACATGTAGAAAAAACTAATTTTGATGAATTATCACAATTTTAAGCTTAGATTTGGTTAGTTTTCCCAATAGAACCACACATCATGCATGATTAGGCAGAAAGTTGAAAATCCTACAATTCTTTATATTTTTATACTTTCTAGTTCTTAACTTATTTGGATGGTGTTTTTTTTAAGTAAAGACTAGACAATGTCCACAAACATGCACATTAAATGGCTTGATGTTATACAGCCTGTATTTACTTTTCATTTCAGCTGGAAACAGTTTGCTGAGCTGCTACAGTGACTCATTATGCAGATAAGTAGTTTATAGAATAAATAGTCTGGCAAGAGAGAGCCGTGTCAAATTATGTGCTGTCTCTGGTGTTAATAAGAAGCATGTGTCATGGATCTGTGCAAGCAGCAGAAAACCAGCGTCTGCTTTGCACCCCTCCCACAGTTCTGAAACCAAACATCACGACTGCAAAACAGGGCCAGGATGTATAAAAGTTTGAAAAAAAAAAAAACACTCTTGAGAAATCTCCTAAACTTTTAGTTACGAGTTAGAAAACTCTTAGAAAGTAAGAAGCCTTGTATGAAAAAGTCACAAGAAACTTTTCGCAAAAAATAAGTTAAATTGTCCAGTGAGGATTTCATTTGTACTATCTAATGCTTGTATACTTCAATACACTGAAAGATCATAAAACTTTGCGCTGCACTGTCCTTAATAGAAAAATGAGTTTTAAAAAATGATAACGTGAGCCATTTTTAGTGATACTCATCTGTCTGCATAGGAGTGGTTTTGCTCAAAAGGATGCAGAAGATGACTCTTCACTGCACTGTGCACACTCCACTCTGCTCTGGGCTCAACTTAGAGGCTTTTTTAAAATATATTACTTGTTTTTGCATTTGTGCCTTTTTCGATAATTGCAAAGTAAATGTAGACAGGAAATGCTGTGATAGACGGGGGAATGACATGAAGCAAAGATGCAAAGGTCGACCAAGGAATCGATGTTGCGGTTATACTATATACATGAGCCCAATGCTGCTTTCAGGCTTTTTACTGTCAGTAGACTATCCAGATCTTCTATGATTTAATATCTTTTTACATCCAGATTTTCAGATTAGCCTTTATGTCAAGGAAAAAATATATTTTTCCATTATGAAAATGTTGTGTTTTTATATGTATTCACAATAAAATGCTGCGAGTAGTGATATATTTTTATAACTGTGTAGGAGAGACTGTGTGGAATCTGACGACATCAAAAACACGATGGTGGGATACTGTATGACTTAGAAATTGGGGAAAATATGGACTTAGTTCCTAAACAAGTAACTCAATTTTGAATTCACTTAAGTGTTCACATACAGTAGCCAAGGGAGGAAGGATAAGGGATGTGAGTTTGAATGTAAAGTGCATCCATCTGCCTCGAAGAGTCAACTCTGAGGCTGTCAGGGTGCCCTTAAACTATAACAATAAGCTCAAACTAGAGCTGCAATGGCCAATGAAGTGTTTTGTTTATAAGACTAGGTTACATTAAACTTTATTGAAATTTCACAGAGTACTAAGACAATTAAATGTGGTTCAGCATATGGCTAGAAGTGTAGAACAAGCAGCAGAAAGCGTTGTGGAATGTCAAATGTCTAAGTGAAATAGCTTTAAGAGCAGTACAGATGCTCTAATGCAAAACATATGAGTATCCAAGATGTATTATATATATAATACATGGATATATATACAGTATTATTAGGCATTTACAGAATAGAAAACACTTTCCTGTATTATATTATACTATACCATTTACACCTAACACAGTGGTCGCCAACCACTGGGCTGCGGACTGGTACCGGGCTGTGGGTCATTTGGTACTGGGCCGCACAGAAAGTAAAAAAGTTTTATTGTTTTATTTTTATTTCCAGTGCAGTCTATAGGGTGTTTTATTTTGAAAAATGACGAGCTCGTCTTCCCATCACTTCTGTCTGTGCTTGTTTCACACACTTGACTGTCTAACCGCTGCCGAAATGTATTAAAAAAAACGTCTCCGGAGAGCTTCTTTGGAAAGTGGGAGAGACTCAATGCCGAGACAGAAGAAAAAGTAAACACATATTTAACAAGTAATTTAATTCGTTTGTGAAACATTTTAATAGAAAAAAAATATTATTTTTTATTCTGTGTGTAATGACCGCTGACAGATCGCTGACCTAACAGATAAAACTGAAATGGTTTTTGAGAACTTTCTTTCTGCAAATAAATGAAAGTCAAATCAACTGAGGAATAATGACTCTTACACATGACGTTTCTCTGTTTTCTTAACACAGCATTAATCTCCTGTTTTACATGTCTTGTTTTTCACAGAAGTGGCCTTAATGCGTTTCAATAAACATGAGATTTAAGGTGATGTGTGTTGAATTACCACCAGTTTTTCTATTCAGTGGTCAATTCTAGTGCATGTATGGGAACACTTTGTGAGGCAAAATAAGCCTCATATGTTGGCAAATTTCAACATTAGCAACTTGTGACTTTGCACATATAAAGACAGTCTACACAGCCCTGTGTGCACCAGTTTTTGTTGTCCTACGATTGAGTGAACATCACCAAAACGATGTGTGAAAATAGTAAAAACCTATAACTTTGGCCTAATTGTGGCAAATCAATTGATGTCGACAAAAGACTGTATTTTTAAATCAGAAAAATTCAGTCTTTCATTGACATATGCTTACAGAAACTCTGGGGCCCCAGTACAACCAGCAAATGTTGCATTTAAAAAAAAAAAATTGGCCTGTGCTAAAGCTATTTGATGATTCTGATCTGCTGGAAACAATATTGTCTGCATTCTCACGACATTTCATAACTGTGCGTGTTATATTTCTGGAGATACTGAACTCTTAAAATGACTAAGGTAAGACATATTTTGAGGAGAAAATAAATAAACAAAAAAACGATAAGAAAACATAAAATTCTGCCAAAATATATTAAAACTTATAATTAAACAAAATGTGGGAGGGTGGAGCAGCGTATTTAGTCACCATTTTACTGATATTTCTGAAGATTTTAGATCATTAAAATGGCTTTCCAGATTAGATGTTTGATAAGAAGAAGATAAGGATACAAAAATTCCCAGCTCTAAAAACATTAAATTTTCAGAACTGTAAATATTTTACAAAACTTAGTTTTGGGTCCCAAAAAACAATCTAAATAAACGCTGAACCAAGTCTGAGATGATGGAGCAACATATTTCTTGAATTCTCTCTGAACTGACCACTAAATGTGAATATAAAGATAAGGAGAAACGACAGCATCAACAGTATGAACAGGATTAGTGGATATGAAATGCAAAATATATACAGTATTTAAACAGCATGAACGGTAAGGTGTGTGTTACAAAATGAAAAAAGTGAAAACCTCACAGTAACATTGCTTGTGGATATCTGGATTTGTTCAATCAACACTCCAAAGCTCAAAGATCATCACTTTATAATCATGTGTGACAAAGAAAAGCAGCAATGTCGAACATCTGAGGAGGTGGAGTTCAGAAAATATAAAATTCTTTAGAATGTTTAGAAATCGATAGACTGATTATTGCAGCTCTTGGTAAAACCAATGGTTGCACTGCGGCTATAAAGCTATAGCTATACAGCTTTCTCATTCTCTTTTGTTTAGGCTTGGTGTGTGTTTTCCCTCAGAGGTGTTTACCTGGCCATAGCTCAGTTCCTGGTTCTGTTTTTCTTGTATTGCTGCGACAGTTGCCGTAGCAGTGGCAGTTGCTGTGGCAGCGGCGGCAGCAACAGCGGCGGCAGCAGCTTGAGTGAAGTCTGAGGGAGGCCGAACGCCCATGCCGGCACCTCCACTGTTACCAGAGTAACTGCAGGGAGAGGGGGAAGACAGGGAGATGAGTGGGCAGCGAACTTGGTGAACCAAGCGTACGAGTGTGTGAGGTTCCGTCACCAGCGTGAGTCAGAGCGGTGGGCGAGAGCAGCCACGCTGACATATGCTGATGTAAAACCCCACAGAAGCAGCACGCACGGTGACAGCATGCAATAAACAGCACAGTGCTGCGCAGAAATATACAAGACTGTTCAATCACCAGTCATTTGTTTTTATGTTTTCATTTTCTTTCATTATGAGCCAGACACGAGCATTAATGTTCCATGGAAAAGTCACCAATTTCTGTAAATTGCTCCTCTGTTGTTTGGTTCACAGAAAAAGGTCAAAACGTGGAACATTATTCCCACTGAGGCGTCGGTTTTAATGTGTGATTAACACAGTGGTGGAGAAATAACTCAGATCTCTTGCTTCGGCAAATGTATCACATCACAAAAAACACTCGACCACAAGCAAAAGCCCTGCACTGAAGATGTTAATTTACCCTCTGAACTCCCAGCAGTTGTTTTGTGCTCGTGTCACATTTAACTCGCTGTGGGTTCACTTTCACTGTAATATAAAGTCCTGTACCTCTATAGAGCACAATTATGGCTAGAAGTTAAAGGAAGAAATGTCTTTAGTGCTGTCAGCACAGTTACAATACCATTATTCATTTAAAAAAAAAAAAAAAAAGAAAAAGTTAAATTTTTTGGACTATTTGTTTAACAGACAATTGTCAAGCATGTTTTAAAGTGTCTGCACGTGTTACAAATGCTAGAAAACATGGTGATCCTACATACTACAGATATCTAACTATTTACATTTTTATTAATATTGCTATTTTAATTATTTATTATTATTATTAATAATAATAATAATAATAATAATAATAATAATAATAATAATAATAATAATAATAATAATAATAATAATAACCTTACTGTCAACACAGCCTGCAGTTCACCTGAAAAGTCTGAATTTTTGTCAAATGACTGTTGGTTGTAGCAGGTTTCAGGTTTTTCAGAAGCACAGATTTTTTTTTTCTTTTTTTTCTTTTTACAGAATACAGGTTAGAGTAAACAATGCATTTTTTGGCCACTTTATACTGAGACTTGCAGAGGTAAGGGATTTTTCCAGAATTTTTACAAGTTTAGATTTGGTTGATTTTACTGACCTAATTGCACACTATGACACTATGAACTACAACCACAATTGCATCATAAATTCAAGGACCATTAAAAAGTTAACCATATGATGATTCTTTCTTGTTTTACAGTTTCTGGCTGATAAATAGTATCATTTTGGAAGTTTTTAAAAGACAACATGCCCTTTAAACCCACCAGTGTGTTTAACAGTTTTAGTACAATCCATTTATTTGATAGTTTTGTGACTTGTGTCTCCTTCTGTTTGTACTGTCTTTCACAATATTACCTGTTCTCCTTTCATTTATTACCTTTTAGTGTTGTAGCAGTCAATTCTTCTTAAGTATGTTTTCTCTATTTTTTTGTGTGTGTCTTTATATTTTGGTGCCCATTAGTCTCATAATTCAAATTTTCCCTCTTGTGTCTGTTACTTGAATGACAGTTACCACATAACTAATGCTTGACAGATTGTGTATGACTGATTCTATAAAATCAACTGAAGCCTGTATGAGCATGATGCGACTGGATCTCATTAAAACTGTGACATAAAGGATTTATCTAAATTCTTCCCTCAATCAAGCAAAAACGAATGGGATTAAATAACTGGAGATTGGCCAGATGGAAGCACAAAGGGAAAAAAATGGCACTCAGAGGAAAAGTCTGTTGTAAGAAAAAGAACCCCAGTCAATCGAACGGTAATTTACGACAACACTGACACGTAAAGAGCTTTCAAACCAAATTAATTCCAGTTTCTTGTTGTTATCCCTGAGGAATCTGCAAGAAAGTCATGTAACATGCTGTTAAAGGTGTTTGGAGATAAAAGTTGACAAGAAGACAGAAGCTGTAAACTAGCCCTCTCTGATAATGCCTTCATTATTCTGTCAACATCATAACATTAATCAGAAGTGAGGGAGGGAATCAATGTTACAAGGAAATGCAGTGAAAGGTCGCCTCTAGTCATGCAATAAGACATTTAAAATGAGTTTGCGTGGATAATAAACTGTGTCATACATTTACCACAAACAAATGCCCTTTCGCATGTGAAAGTTCTTCAAAGCACACCAACTATGCCTCATCTCACTGAAACATTCAGGATCTTGGAATATGTCAATATTGCTCATATGTTAATGTCTTTAAATTTATTATGAAATATGCCTGTAACGGAGAAGTATTTTGACACAACTCATGGCTAGAAGATGAGTCTGGCATCAAATGCAGATAAAAAAATTATACCTTTCATTTGATGTGACTTGATTTGACCAACCACCCATGTCTCATGGTGACAGGACCCTTGAAAGTTTTATCCAAAATGCACTTTTTAAAGATTTCCCAATTGAATTCAGAAAACAGATGACAAATCCATTGTATCAATGCTTGGTTCTTTTACTCTATGACAGGGACATTAAACAGGTGCATTGTTCTAAAAAAGCTATTATATATCCCATGATGGTGATAAATAAAATCATGCTAAACAAATAAGAGTCTGAATTCTGTCTTTAGATTGTGACACCTGGAGTGGATGCAATATTGATTTGGTTGCAGAATTTACCAGAGCACAGATGTGCTTTCCAGCCCTGAAAATGCAATGTGTCTATCTCCTGTACTGATTAAATTAAGGGTCTTTAAAATGCTGGAAAAAGTAATGCATATTATAAAGTGCAAATTTCGAGCCTGTACTTCAGTGACACCAGATTTGCAATTATTGTTACTTTTATTAGGGATTATTCAGTTCAAACTATCCTTTGGCTGTTAAGATTGTAAAAATACCTATTGCAATTTCCTAAAGCTTGGATGTAACAATATTAAATTGATTATGATTGTTAAAAACAAAACAAAAACAAAACAAACACTTTACAGTTTAAAACACTTGCTGTTATAAACACTAAAATTTCAGCATGAGAAAAGCAGCATACTTTCCACCATAGGCGGAGGCTGGGTTGTAGGCAGTGCTGGGACGTCCGTACATGACTGGTTGGCCGTAGCCTTTAGAGACGGCGTCTCCATACGACTGCTGGCCCATGAACTGGGAGCCCATGCCAGCAGGCATGCCAGGGCTGCCACTGGGCATCATGTGACCGCCAGAGCTCTCACCAGGGCCCATGGGTGCACCAAACACCTACACAGAAACAGAGAGCAGTTACTACTGTGAACACTCATATAGGCCATGATGTTGTAAGTTCACACAGAAAGTTAAACTGGGCTGATATTAAACTCCTAATAACTTCAAGTCAGATCAAACATGCATCACTTTTTGTTTGAGACTTTACAGAATTTATCAAAGTTTTGAGAAATACACTCACTGTGAAGATCACTCCTCCTCACAGTGAAGTGTAGGTGTTACCTTTGAGAGCAGCTCGATGTGTTTATTTATAAATTCACAGTGAAGATAAATATTCTAACAGCCAGGTGGATTTAGCTCATTGATAAATTTATTGGTCAGATATAAACAAAAAGGGAATAAAACAAACAAACAAATCTGTTCCAGGCTCCGCCCTGATGCCCCTAGAATCAAATGATTTTTATGTACAATAGCTTTGGTATATTTACTGAAGCCACACTGAGTGAAATTTGTGCAGTATCGAACTTCCTAAATCTAAGGATTTAATGCTTATCTTCTAAACACTTTTCAATATTGGACTGTTTGTCAGGAAAAACAAGACATTTTTAGACTTGTGTTTGGGAGACTGCTGCATAGCTACACTGTAGAAGTGAGTGTCACCACGAAGGAAAAATACAAAAATATATATATACATTGAGTGTGTACTTTTTGCTTCATGAAAATGCAGAAATTTAGATAAAATCAACTACAACATGACATTCAATAAGGCAGAATATAACAACAATGATTTGTGTTTTTTT